CCCCAAAACCCCAAAACCCCTGAAGTCAAAATTATGTAATTATTGATATTTTCTTTGGAAATAATAATTTTAAAATACGATTAATAGAAATGAGTGCATTTATTGCAGACTAATTACACGAAATTTAAGGCTATTCTGACAGCACACTAGAAAAATACATCCATTCAATAGCACTAAATGCGAACTCTGAATAATTCATATTTGATAAATTGGTAGATGGTGGACTGCCTGGCAATGCAAAAACTAGAACATTTGCAACATCTCTATTTGATAAAATCACACCTGATTCAAAAAAGGTTCAGAAGATAAATGCTCAAAAGTTAAAAGAGCAGGAGTAGATAAAATAATAATAAACTAAAAAGTCCTATGCTTTATTAGATGATGAATCTGATGATGAAGACATGAATGAAGATGAACTCTAGAACTAGTAGCAACTTAAATTTTTTAAGGACTTAGAGAAAATACAAGAGAGAAAAAAATAAATCGATGATGATGTGAGAAAAGCTGGGGAAAGTGAGGTAAAACTTTCTAAAAAGGAGGAAAAAGAAATTAAAAAACTAGAAAAAGAAAGAGATAAACTTGAGAGGGATGCTTTGGTAGCTAGAATGCTAGAAAAAGATAAAGATCTGACAAAAACAAAAATTGGCAATGTGGTAGAAAATCCCTAATCTAAAAACATGAATCTAGATGAGAAGCTTAAGTATATTCCAGAGCTCAGAAAGATATCAAGACAGAAGTATCTAGAAATTAGGGAGGAGCAACAACTTGATTTGTTTAAGAGAAGACTTGAGGATGAGAAAAGGATATTTGGAGATCAACCCTTAACTGAGATAGAAAAAAAGATCAGCAATCTTAATGAAAGATTATATGGTCTTGCAATGAAAAGAAGAGAAAAATAGTCAAAAGCATAAATATATCATATGCCAGATACCTATGAAGATGAGGATGGTAAATTACTAAAAGATAAAAAAATGGCTGTGTTAACCAAGAGATACGAAGAAGAAAAGATTGAACTCACTGAACAAGAATAATGGGAACTTTTTCAATAGAAAAAAGCTACTGCTTAATTTGGAGCAAGAGCTGGCAAAAAATCAAAAGAAGATAAAAACTTTGAACTCCTTCTAGAAAATTAAGTTGACTTTATTTAGACTAAAGCTTTATAAGGGATAGTAGATGTTAAGAATAAGTCTAAAACAAAAAAAAAGAAATCTAAAGATAGTAGTGAGGACTCAGATTCTAGTTCAATGAGTGAAGAAGAAATAGTTGAGGCTGAGAAACTTTTAACTACAGAGGAAAAATAAAGACTGAGCATTAAACAATAAAGAGAGAGCTTGCCAATTTATCCGTATAGAGATTAGCTATTAGCTGCATTAAGAGATCATTAAGTACTCATTATTGTAGGAGAGACTGGATCAGGAAAAACAACTTAAGTTCCACAATATCTTCATGAGATAGGATATACTAAATTTGGAAAAATCGGAGTTACATAGCCGAGAAGAGTAGCAGCAATGAGTGTTGCAGCTAGAGTTGCTCAAGAAATGAATGTTAAATTAGGCCATGAAGTTGGATATTCTATCAGATTTGAGGATTGTACTTCTGACAAGACTGTTTTAAAGTACATGACTGATGGAATGCTTTTAAGAGAATTCTTAGGAGATCCTCGTTTAGATGGATATACTTGCTTAATGATAGATGAGGCTCACGAAAGAACATTACATACTGATGTCCTATTTGGATTAGTGAAGGATGTAGCAAGAGAAAGAAAAGATTTGAAGTTATTGATTTCATCTGCAACGATGGATGCTGAAAAATTTTCAGACTATTTCGACGGTGCTCCAGTGTTTAAGTTTCCAGGAAGAAGATATCCTGTTGACATGTTCTATACTAAATAGCCTGAAGCAGACTATGTCGAGGCTGCAGTAATTACTACTTTGCAAATCCATGTTACTTAGCCTAGGGGTGATATATTAGTATTCTTGACAGGTTAAGAAGAAATTGAAACTGCGTAAGAAATGCTTTAATAAAGAACAAGAGGACTTGGAACAAAAATCTCAGAATTAATGATTTGTCCTATATATTCAACTCTACCTTCAGATATGTAGGCAAAAATATTTGAGCCTACTCCTCCTGGTGCGAGAAAAGTTGTCTTAGCTACTAATATTGCAGAAACATCTCTGACAATTGATGGAATAATTTATGTTATAGATTGTGGTTTTGCAAAATAGACAAGTTATAACCCTCGAACAGGAATGGAAAGTCTTATTGTAACACCTATTTCAAAAGCCTCTGCAAATTAAAGAGCTGGTAGAGCAGGAAGAGTTGCTCCTGGTAAATGCTTTAGATTATATACAGCTTGGTCATTTTAAAATGAGCTAGATGATACAACCATACCTGAAATATAAAGAACAAATTTAGGGAATGTGGTATTGATGCTTAAGAGTTTAGGCATTAATGATTTAATACATTTTGATTTCATGGATCCTCCACCTGCTGAGACATTAATTAGAGCACTTGAGCAATTGTATGCATTGGGTGCTTTAAATGATGAAGGAGAGTTAACTAAGCTTGGAAGAAGAATGGCCGAATTCCCTCTTGATCCTATGCTTTCTAAATGTGTAATACAATCAGAAGCATTTAAATGTGTTGATTAAGTAATAACAGTATGCTGTATGCTCTCGGTTGGAAATTCCATATTTTTTAGACCTAAAGAAAAGGCAATTCATGCAGATAATGCAAGAAAGAATTTCTTTCGACCAGGTGGTGATCACATTTGCTTGCTTAATGTATTTGAATAATGGAAGGAAACGAACTATTCGACTTAGTGGTGCTTTGAAAATTTTATATAAGTCAGATCAATGAAGAGAGCAAGAGATATTAAAGAATAGTTGATTGAACTATGTAAGAGAGTTGAAATAGATTATGCAGAAGAGACACTTTCAGTTGTGGATGATGAATATTACAGCAATGTAAGAAAGGCAATTGCTTCTGGATTCTTTTATAATACTGCTAAGCTTTAGAAATCAGGAAATTACAAGACCCTTAAAAATTAGCATACTGTTCATATTCATCCAAGTAGTTGCATGTTCGAAGCACTGCCAAAATGGGTTATTTATCACGAACTTGTTTATACAACGAAAGAATATATGAGAAATATAATTGAACTTAATCCAGATTGGCTTTTGGAAATTGCACCTCATTATTATAAAAAGTCTGATATTGAGGATGATGATAAAAAAGAAAAGAAAGTAAAAATGCCTCCAAAGGGTAAATGAGATAAGTACCAGCTTTTATTAAGATTAATTAGTGATTTAATAGAAATTAATTTTGAGATAAATAAGAAGATATGGTTTTGATGGGGTTTTGGGGTTTTGGGGTTTTGGGGTTTTGGGGTTTTGGGGTTTTGG